ACAAAGGTCTTTGCCCTGCTTCATTGTATTTGAGAATTTATTGCCCATCTTACTCATAGGGGGGAAAAAAAGATTTATAACTCCGCTAAGTTACAGCTAGTCAAAGAGGCTGCCCAAGCCATGAACTGTGGGTGTTCAGAGTAAAGTTGTTTAGCAAGGCCTAAATTCAGGCCATCAGTGCTTTTATAAGAGACTGTAAATCACCTTAACGTTTATACACTGTGGCAACATGTGAGCAGAGGAATGTGGTTGGTCTGTGCTAGTCACAGAGGTCCCAGATGAGGCCAGCAGATTGGGCAGCAGCCGTGCAACGCCAAACCTTTGAGTAAAATACTCAGACTTGTATCTCCCCTGTGCTCAGTGCGTATGGGACTAGGACAAAGGGACAGGAAACCAGCACAGAGGTGCCACTGGAACAGAATGCACAAGGGCAGCTTGAACACACACTGGGAAGAGCATTGCTAAGCAGTAAGCAAATTGTAAAACACAAGACAGACAAAACATCTGGCAGCTGCTTCAAATAGTTTTCTGTCTGAAGGGCAGACAAGCCTGCAATAGTTTCGAATCAAAACATGTGCAAGGACAGGATCAGTGCTCCAGTGTGTTTTGTGCAAGCACCGAACGAGTTTTGTTCCCATCAGCACTGTTTTGTATGCCAAGAAAGGTTGTGCTTTGGGTTAGGTTTTTAATTTCAATAAACTTTACTAAATAAATCACTATGTATTTCCTTCTCCAGTCAAATGCAAGTTAGTCTTTGGCGTAAGATCAACATCATTAGCTTTGCGTAGGAAGCATATGGGAGAGAAGAGGGGAAGCATGCAATGAAATCTTTTTCATAATTGTTGTCTTACCTTATGCAAGAGAGAGGGTGCGACTGCCAAAATAAGTTCTTAAAAGTATAGTGCATGTCCTTCTAAGTTTGCACATCTCAGGCACAAGGAAAGGGGAAACTGCCTTGTGCTGGTACTGGCCAAGGACTTGACAGGTACAGACTGACACCTACACTCCAACAGGGAAGTTGTCTGAGTTCAGAAATAAATTCTCAGTTCTACAAATAAAGGAGAGAATTGGCAACTCTCCTCCTCCTCCCCCTCCCCTCTGAGTTTTTCTGTCTTGGCATTGTCATAGCTCTGACCAAGATCCACAGTAGGTATGTTTGCTGACACAGATGCTGTGCAGGAATGTAACCTGCACCCAGACAGGCTTTCCTTCTGAAAGGAATTGAGACAAGACCACTAAAGCAGTATAACATACTTCCTGATCAGCTACTGAACTCCTCCACTGAAAAACTCTCCTCTTGCGTGCTTTTCTAGACTTAAATTACTTTCACCAAAGCCTCAACTTCCAGGAAGAAAAAGCTACTCCAACTGCTTGTCTAGAGCATCAGAATGCCAGGATTCTCTGCAGCATTGCCACAGCACTTCTGTATCACCAGCAAGGCAACAGCAGGCAAACTACCAAGGCCAGAAGCCTCCTATAAAATGTAGGAACGGTTCCACGTGCATAACCAGGATGAGTCAGCAAGGGCAGGAGGATGAAGTACTGGCCAGGGTAACAGGGTTGGTTCTCAAGGAGGCCCTTACACAAGCAGGACTTGCAGTTTTTAACGCTGCTCCTAAAGGAGCAGGTCTGCCTGCCACACGCCAGTGCTTGAACGCAGGCAATAGCAGGGGAAGCAGAGCGCCACTGATTCATTAGGACTCGCTAATCTGTGATATCATTTGTTGTTTCCACCAGGTCCAATCCCCATCTCATGACTTCCTCCACTGTTGCCATGGCACAGTACATAAACACCACAGACTCCCAGCCCTGAGCAGGTCATTTGTTTCAAATATTCCATGCAGCTGGAACACAAGCCTGTTTGGGTGTCTGGAGCTGAGCATGAACTAATTTCTCAGTCTTCTGCACCCACCCCACCTTCCGCACCCTCCCCAGCCTGCTGCTCTCCCAGAACCCCTCCAGCAAAGCAGAGGCAGCCTCCTACTGAAAGGCAAGGGGAAGCTGGCCTTGATCGCATGCAGGCAGAAAGTAAGCATGGCACTGAATTCCTCCACTACCAGCAGCAAAATAAAAATGATTATTGAACATGCCAGATACTTAAGCTTAGGATCTACAAACAATTGTCTTCTACATGTGGAAAGCCAGACCAGATTAAGACATCCAAAATTCAAAAAAATTCTTGCCCTGATTGGAGACAAAGACAAGAAACCACTTGCCTTTTTTTTTTTTAAACTCTCCTCAGCCATTACCCTTATAAGGCAGTTAGTAAGCGTACCTCTGAGCTGTAGTTGAGCCTCACATGTAGTACAGTGTGTGAACTGATTAAATCACTGGGTCTCCACGTGCAAGTTGGCAGCTGCAGGGAGGACAGAAAAGTGTGTGGACAGGAGGGGAAATTAAAGCCTTTATCATTTACAAGATTATGAAGTCATCTCACTTCCAGTCAGTTTGGAGAGGCTTAACCTGACTGCTAGTACAATTCGGGAGCATCTCTGTATTACACAGGTTGGAAGTGGAGGAGACTGAAGGCACAACCAGCAAGTAAACAGCTCCTGCTCCACAATGTAATCCATATCTCCTCACAGCTCAGGAATGAAGCCTCTTGTGTAAACAGAGCTCAAAACATAGGAACACACAACTTACAGCAGTGGGTAGGGAGTGACTGAAAACTAACACCAAATAACTTGAGCTAAATCAAGTTCATGTTCTTTTACCCAGAACACACTGAAATCAATCGGCCATTTTTCAAGCACACAATACAAGAATGACTCTCCCAACACTCAACCTGCCACAGCACCTTCTGTAATTAACTGCGCTGTTCCACTGGCTAGGGATCCCTCTAACTCTCACCATTTTATTTGGCTTTCTTCTGTTGACCATTTCTCTTCCTAAGAAAAAAGGACAGTCAGGTATCAGAGTAGGTAGTCCCTTAGTGATTTGTTTTCATAAGAGCTGCTTTTCCAGAAGAAAAAGAAGGGTTGTTTGCTGTAATCTAGGAGTGAAGTTTGCAAGCCTGAACAATGCATCAAGTTTGACAAGATAACCAGAGCCCTGTCTGTTGAATCCACTTGAATCTATTGGAAGAAAAAAGGAGTATGGTGTAATAATTCAGTTGTCAACCAAGTTAAATTAGGAAACCAAGGCTGTGTCTCACAGATTTTAGTCAACTCTATCTGGAGTGGTCATTTTTAGGCACTAGTGGCAGCTGTACAAAAATCTCAGGTTACCATACCCTACCACCCCACACCAATAGCAGCAGCTTTTAATTGTTATTCTTCCAAGCAGAGACAAGGCCACAACAGCCCTTGCTTTATCTGTTTGGGCTGGCTTCTTGGGAATAAGCTCACCATTCATGCAGAAACTAAAGAATTCTGATCACGTCATGCAAATGAAAACCAGCATCAAGTAATATTTAATAAAGTTTATTAGGTTACTGAGTATTATCTACAGTCATAAAATAGAAAGTCAGAATTTAAAACTGTACAAAGCAATGTGAAGTGAGAAGAGATGGAAACAAGGGAGCACAAAGAGCACGAGAAGTAGGGAGAACACAGCTACTTCCCTGGAGTTCTGGAAGACACTGGTTCAAGTTGAAGGCAACCAAGTAGGGCTCCACACACTGAATTTTCTTGTGTCCCACCCTGTAACAGAAACTAGTACAAACCCCCACGTTAAAAAAACATATAATATTAGGTTAAAAAAGGGGCACATCACACCCCACCCAGTCTTGGCACCAATTCTGTGCTTTAAAAAATATACTATGCAAGTAGTTTATTTTTAAAAAAAGGTACCCTACAGCAGCTGTTTAAAACATGTTCTTACACATACACCACAAATATATATATATATTAACATTTTCAACAACTAAACTCATTTGTACCTACACAGAACTGAAGGGATAACTCAAGAGCAAAAAACCAACCACAAACATTTTTCAAGACAAAGAAATGTGCAAAATAACCCCAGAAAGGCAGCATAGTAACCTGTGGAGAGGTCAAGAGAGCAGCTCCTGCTAGTAAAGGAGTGTCATCCTCTTTACTTGGCTACTGAGGTGAGAATCTATTTGGGATGTGCTGATTTTGCCTGAATTGCTTGTCCTGTTTATTGCAGTTCTCTCCTGCCCCC